AGTCAACTGTCTGAGTGTACCTAAGCACCAAGTAAACACGTAATTGGGAAAAGCCTGTCATTGCTTCCAACTGCAGGCTTCTGAGGCATGTTTCAGGTCTCAGACCTCTGGACTGGTGCCTATGCTGCTAGCGAGACTGCATTGTTCAGAAATCAGTCAGCACCAAGAAGCCAGACAGGGGTCTGTGTCCTTCAGTATCCGGGAGTAACAGGTCTGGCTGAACTTCAGAACAGCACAGTACGTTGTTCCAGTTGGCCCTGAAAGGTATGGCTCCTCTCCCCACACATCGATCAGTGATAAGTGGTGACTGTCACAGTAGTTAATTCAAAGGCTGTTTGGTAATTCCACTGAGGTTCTGCACAGGACTCTTTTGACTTACAGTTTAAAATGGGTTAATGTGGAAGGCAAGCAAGAAACATTAATTTTTTTCCAGAGAGACTATTTATACTTAGTTAAATCTTGCTACAGCTTACTGTAGCACCAAAAGCTACAAATCATTGAGACACACACCATTTCTGAGGGTCCTACAGTCTGGACACACCTATTTTAGCACACTAAGAGTGGTTGTGGCCACCAAGATCCTCATTCCAGAAAATCCTAAATCTGAGTATGACTGATTTTCTGATCACCCAAGTCCAAAGTCCAAATCAACACTGAGTAGCTATATAGCCATCCCTTAATGCCCTCTTGTACAAAACTCTCTGTTCTTAGAGAAAATAGGGTAGCAACAGAAACACAAGGACACACACATCACATTGCACTTGTAGCAGTGCTTTTAGTGTTACTCCTGCAAAGACACGTCAGACCTATTTGGTACACATTACAGTAACCTGAAACAGGTTCTCGTGTATTGAGATTTGTTTAATTTTTTTTTTAAAAAGCTAGAAAATTTTTCTTACGTTCTAGATCAAAATCACTTCTTCACATTTCCAGATGCAGCTGCTGCTTAAGCAGAGGAGTTCTTGGCAGCTACAAGACTGTCACTGCAACACTTAACCAGGAAGGCATGCTAGGATCATCTTTCTCCTCCTGCCCCACCCAAGATCACTGTGGATTTCTTTACAGAATGCTTCTCTTCTGTCTTTTCTGTGACTCTTTTCCATGCTTCCTGAGGATAGTTGTTGGGAATGTATCCTTTTTGCCTTCAGCACAAAGGAGCTATGTAGTTTGATTTCCACTGTGACTAAACAGGTTCAAAGCCCCACTTTCTTGGCTTTACCACATTACAGCTTCACTTAATCAGCCATGTTTGTATTACTGACATTATCTGAGTAGTTCTGGTTTGAACCAAAACATTTCTCAAGGCAGATTCTGGAATGGCTTCAGGGTTATAGGACTTCCTTGAGGCGGAGACAGTATGTTAGCACTAACAATACACATCAGAGCCACAGCAAGTGACACCTTCACTAGACAGTAGTTGAGTCATTGACATGAAAATCGAGTTTCACAACTTCAATCTCTGCCCAACACACATCCACATCTAGATCTTATCCTGTTCTGTGGGTTAGAGCTCTTGGAGTCAGCAGAAGTGCAGCTGTAACGGCTGTAATTAATTTGCAGTGAGTTCTGTAAGGTGGATGCAGTAGTTTATGCCTCATATATAAATAAATAAATAAATAAATAAATAAATAAATAGATGATGGATAGATAGATAGATTGATTGATTGAGTTTAAAATGTCCTCATCTGTTATGACCAAGATCTGTCTGCTATCATAGACCAGCTCTCTAACATATGCTTTTGCAATTTCCTCATTAACTTGTACGATCTGTGCTCAGAAATTATTCTTATATGCTGTACAGTAAGGGCCAACATGCACAAAAGAAACCTGGAACTGTGAGCAAAGGATTTCTAGATTTAGCCTTTTCACTCAGCCAGAAAGGGACTGCACACAATAAAATCTGGACAAACTGTACAATGGCTACATTTCTCTAATCAGATAATCCAGTGTCTTGCTGGAATACCACTGAAATTCATAGAATCATAGAATGATTTGGATTGGAAGGGGTCTTAAAGATCATCTAGTTCCACTCCCCCACCTCCCTCGCCATGGGCAGGGACACCTTCCACTAGACCAGGTTGCTCACAGCCCCATCCAACCTAGCCTTGAACTCTTCCAGGGATGAGACATCCACAACTTCTCTGGGCAACCTGTCCCAGTGCCTCAACACCCTCACAGTAAAGGTTTTTTTCCTGATATCTGATCTAATCTACACCTACTCTCTTTCAGTTTGAAACCATTCCCCCTTGTCCTGTCATTACATGAACAAAAGCAACAAGTAAACTGGAATAACAAAATGGCCCAAGGAAACCCATACAAGACTATTCTTCAGATTGGTAGAAGAGCACAAAAAGGATGCACACAATTGCAGCAGATCCTGAAACTGCAAAAGAAGGAATCTTTAGGAGCAGTAACTTGCAGTGGATTGAGCTTTGAAAAATAGAACTCCTATCACAGGAGAAACTAGGGTATGTTCGTGATTTCACCCTAGATTAGCAGGAAGGATTAGTTGCCTTAGAAGCATGTAGAAATTACTGTACTGCTGCTTTCTTCTACCACTGTAAAAGCTCAGAACAGCATGAGACATAGGAAACAAAATTCAAAACTACTTTTGCCTCAGCTTTGACATCCCTTCCACCTAAAATAGCAAGAAAATCGAAGTAGCAGGTGTTTCGAAGATAATACTCATAATAAAATAATTAATTATCTAGGGTAATTGATTTCCCATGACTGGAGCATGTACCCTTTGCCTTTGGAGGGTAATTTACTGACTTTCCAAGGCTGAACATAAATCACTGTGCTAAGTGCTGCCTCAAATGCTTCCAGAGACAAGGCGGAATACTTTGATTAATATTTTGCCAAGCAGTCAAATTTTTTGTCTGCTGGATGCGTTTCAGGGTCTTGCACTGGCATGGTCACTGTGCTCCTGCAGAAGCCTTGTTTTTGCTAAAGCGTTGTAACAAATATACAGCACAGCCATTGTTAATAGTTTTTACCTGATTAGTCATCAGAAGCTTTGGACACAACCTAAATAGGGATCTGATGCTAACCTAATTGCAAGGAAGTCTTAGGAAAAGCCCAAGTAATTTGGAGTGGTGAACACAGCTGGAACTATAACATGTTCACTCACTCGAAAATTAGTAATGCCTAATACTAGTTTTTTTATTTCTCTGTTTATAATACCTATCCCCTATTCTTTGGTAACTGATCCTTAAGGACCCTTCCAGTCCAAACCATTCCATAATTATATGATTATGATTGTAAAGTCTAAAATACATTTCTTGGCACAACAATTTTTCTTTGCAACCACTGTGTACCTACCCTACCATAAACCTAGGCTGCCAAAAGAGGAGCCATGTGCAAACAGGAAGGACAATAGAAAGAGTCCAATTAGAAATAAGAAGTAGAAACTCCCTATAACCATCCTTTCAGTCCCTTCTGGACTTTCTGCTCCCCACTCTCTCAGGCTTTCCCTAAGCCTGACTTAAGCTCTTGGAAGAGGGTTCATCTCAGCAGACAATGCATCTGTGGTAAGCAAGAGTTGTGGGGAGCAGTCCTCTGACCTGCTCCCTCTGTCTGCTTCAAAATTCTCTCAGCCATGTATCTGTAAATGTATCTGTACTCTGGATGTCTACAGTGGAGAAGATGAGCCCAGTCCTCAGACCTGCCTAAACAGCCTACAGCATCTCTAATACATTTTATGCATTTTAATTAATCATTTGTTTTATGATAAATCCTTTTATTGGAACATGTTACAGAAGAGAAGAAAAACAATTTCCCGCATAGGTCGCGTTATGTTTAGAAACAGTAATTTCATGTTGCTTCCAGAAATACCCTCAGGTGCTTTTTTTATTCTCCCATGAAACTTTCCATTGCCTGAAGTGCTGGCATGCTCCTCAGCCAAAGGAAAGTAATATGGAATACTGAAGCAGTTCATGAGCTGGTTTTCTGTTTGTGACATCATGCTTTATCCCTTGGAGACATTCATTATGTGTGGTTTTATTGCTACAAAAACGCAAATGGACTACAGCTATAAATTGGCATTTTGAAGATAGGGAGAAAAAAAATCAAGAAAAAGAAAAAAAATTAAAGATTAGGAAAGAAAACTCCAATACTGTTATTTTCAATAAAGCCACAGGAGCTTTTCTGCTGAATTTCATTTAAATTCCTTCATTTTTCCTGTTGGCAGTCACTCAAGGCCTATCTCACTATAGGAGCAGAGGAAAGAATGTTACGTGTCCTTTTGCCCAGCCAGTCACCTTTGTTCCCATGGTCCTGCTTTAATGTGTTAGCAACTGACCTATGGTATGAAAGTTAAGGTAAAATACTGGTGCTGTGTTTATCAAGTTATTGGGCACAGATAATATTTTGCTTGGATTTTAGTAATCAAAGCCAGCTCTCCACCCACAGTAAATAGAGCTGCAGATGGCACAGCAAGCTGCTATGTTCCAAAATGAATGAAGTTCATTTTTATATTCTTTGAATTCAAATGCTTCTCTGGATTTCCCTGTGCTCTTTTTGTCCTCTGTCTTTTCTCTAGATTCCATGCGAGTACCCATAGAGATGGTACTGCAGCGGTCATGGTCACAACCTGTGGGAGTTACCTGACTCATGGGTGTGTAAAGATGGTGACCATGGGGTTCTCAGAATTGTGCAGTACCCAAGGACACAGAGGTCGGGGTTTCTGTGAATTTCTTTATTATGAATTCTTACAAAAACTACTGCTAGTAAAAATATATAAATATGTGCTACAAGTCATTGCAAAATTACTGCTATGAAAACAAGTAAATATATTGTAAGAGTAAAGCAAATATAGATATATTAGAAATTACTACTGTATTCCAATGAGTGAAATAAATAAATACTTACAAACCTTTACCTGTGTGCCTACCTATAAATATACTATGCAAGGTGTTACCAGTATGACACTGACCAAACTGCTCCCAAGAGTGGGTCTAATCGACTAGAGATTAGGTTCTACATCGTGGAGTCTGGAGTCAGCTCCAGACCCCATGCTGCATCCCCAGCAAGTGTCCGGTCTGTCTGGGAGATCTCTTGCAGAAAAGCTCATTTTGGGTAGGCAGCAAGTTACTTTTTACACCTTTATCGCATAAATATCTGCGTGTAGGACATCTGTTCATGGGACAGTTGTTGTTTGGCTCCTGTTTTCCTGGAAGGTCACAGTTTCTTTGTCCTGCACCCATCAGGGTTTCTTTGTTCTGCCCATTTCTCCCCATCAGGGAAGTTTTGACTGAGTTTATCAGGGTCTGAGTTTATCAGTGATGTCTTGGAACTCTGACTGAGATCCCTTCTTTGTTGGTACGTTTACTGGATTGTCTTTGTGGAGACTGCGGTCAGGTGTCTCACTGGTCAGAACTTGAAATGAAATAAGCCTTGCTCTGCAAGCCAGGAGAACTCTGCCAGGCCTTCTCAGGGACTAAGGAGTCTAGGCCATGTCTTACCAGGAGTTAACGGTACCAGCCTGAGCTGGGACTAGACAAAACTAAAACCGCCACAGCTTCACTCCGGTACATACACGAAATGGGGGGATTGATTATGAGTCAACCACTGAGCAATCCTGTACAGCAACAGGCTGCTCAGCAGCAACCTCCTCTCGGGGGGAGACACCTCTCAAGGTAACTTTTCAAGTCTGAGAAATCTCTGACCCAGGATCTCATATCTAGAAAAAGGTAAGCAATACTATGTATTAGGCCTGAAAGTTTACTGTATGCTAGCAGCTTTTATATATCCAGCTACAACTTAATTATTAGAAGTGTAGTAAGTAGTAGAGGGTTTGACAGCTGTCTAAATTATCATTTTAACCATCATTTAAATAACTGCAAACTCATCATTAAATAATTGTTGAATCATTGTTTAATTACCATTCAATTGTTGCTTAATCACCATTTGATTGAAATTTAATTTTCATTATGTCATCAATTAATTATCATTACATCATGATTTCATTATTAATAAGCCCCTTTTACTTAACCCCACAATGAGGACTTCTCTTAACAATTCATCTGTGACAAGGTGGCACTTAGTATGCACTAGGGAGATGAAGCCACTTATAAAGCCTCCCCAGCAAGAAGATTAGAAGATTTCTTTGAGTACACTTAATGTACATCTTATGACTCCTGCCAGAACCATCCTTCAGTCCAGCTTACCAGTCTGTGGAGACCATAACCGTGTCAAGCATGGTGTAATGCATGGTTGGAGGGCATCATCTAGAGCACACCAGACCAAGCATACACTGTACCTTCAGATGTTTTGCCTTCCTGGGTAAACTCACAGAAATATCTAGGGGCTGTGCAGAATGACAGAATGATGGGAAAATTAATTGAAATAGTGTGCTGTGCTCATGACCTTTTTCAAGCTCTTCCAGCGCTTTCTAAATATACCAGTTTTGCTACTGTCATTTGCAACCAGCCAGCAATTTAGATTCTTTTTCAAGAGCATTTAATAACTAGTCAGAGACAGTTCAGCCTAAACTGGTGGTGTGCTGTTGTGAATAGCAGGAACAGCATACAGTCCCATTACGTTTCTCAGTCATTTCCCATGATGAGCAACTTTTCAAAATCTTCTGGATGGCTGTGGTGGCAGCTAAGAGCTGAGAACAATGCTGCCTTGCCCCCAAAACATGTCCCAAGCTAGCATGGTACACACAGATGAAGAGTAGTTTTACAGTTTTCAGCAGCTCCTCTACCCAGTTTGAAAAAGTCATTGTATGATGGGAGTACATTCTGTATAATGGATGTCTTCTAATAATGCTGTTAGGAGGAAAATTAATGTGATAGATAAATAGTCTTTGGCTTAAAAAATGCTGAAGATGATTCAGTTCAACAAAGAGCTAAGAAAAGTGGGAGCCATTTGAGAAGAAACATCCTGAACCATAAAGAAGCCTGTCTTGTTAATGCCAGGCTTTTCTTTCAATGATACAGGCAGAGGCATCTTGTCTTTACAGTAAATCAGGCTAAATACAAAATCTATGGGTTTATTCCTATGCCCTGGTATTCAAGACAGTAAAACAACTAAACAGCATCATGTTTAATGCTGGTGAACTTAGGCGGTTAAGGTTAAACTTAAGAACTTATTTTATAATTACCTATTTTCTTCATCTCTTCATGGTGTATCAAGTCACTTCACACCCCAGGCGAAGTACCAGCTTTAGAAACAAAAGCGGACATACCTCCCATATGTATCCTGTATTCAATATTTCATAGTGACAACAAGTGCAAACCATTCAAATAATTTGACTTGTCTCTAGTGCAGCTGTAGCATTTTTTTCTTGAGATGTCAGGCACAATAGAGGGTGACAGTGTAAGACAGCTGAAGCCTTCCTGCATCCAAGTATACTACCAAAGAAACAGCTTCCTCTGAAGCACCCAGATCTTTCTGCCGTGAAGTGTAGAACTTAAGTTAACACTGTAGAAAGTAATAGAGATTCAGGTGCTGGAGTCCCCTTAATTATACACCTTTCTTATCCTGGTGCTACGTGTTAAAAAACAGAGCTCTACCATTTCATGTATTATTTATGATCATCAGTTTTATAATCTTGTGTCTCAGTGATGTCTTGTCCCATTATGAAGAGCAGTGGTTAAACTGCTCTGATGTACACTTTTGCCCAAAGGAGCGTGGAATACATGTAAAATTAAAGGATATTACCAAGAAATTTATATGGGAAGAAAAAGATGGTAATACCAATAAATGAGAACACTTGCCATGGTCTCCCAAGGGAAACAATGCAGTTTGTTCCAAACCCCATTTTCTGAGATAAATCTGCTTACTTTTAGATAATTTTAATTTTATAGGAAGTATTACTGTCTCAACCTTTGTCTTAGACCTTTAAAGCCTATCAGACCAGCCAGACTTGTATGAGCAGAACCTACATGGACAGTCAGAGACAACCTTTTGAAAAATTTTGTGCTGAGTGAATGGCAAGAAGAGAGTTTGTATTAGTAGGAAGAAAGGAGGATGGGTCAGATTTCTGAGGCCACATCTAAAAGAAAGATTAAGAAAAATGAGGTGAAATATCATTACAAGGTATAGCAAGGCTGTGCTTGCAAGTAGAGAAAGATTTCTTCATGATCTCCTGCAAAAGAGCAACCAAGAGTTTTAAGAACATGTTTGTGACAAATGTTTGAACTGGAATCCTAATTCAAATCTGTCATTAAAATGTCATCATGCCTCTGTGGCAGAGGGGCAGAGCAGTATGAACAGCAGCCACAGCTTTGACACTGTTTTACAAGTGAATGCAGCTGGAGTGAGAGAAATGTGTCACTGAGCTTAATTACTCTTTCCATTTTTTATTCAACAGAACTCTCTGGATTTGCAGGGTAGGATGTTATTATTTGTTTGCATAAAGTATCAAAAAGCTGTTAAATAATCAGGAGGAACAAGTGGGAGCAAATACTGTTTGAGGAGTTCTGACCTTATTTGCAGGGTTCAAAACAACTAAAAGATCATCAATTATGTGGATATGTTTGGAGGATTTTCCTTTCATGTTGCAAAGAAATCTTGTGACGGTAACCTCATAACCTTCAGTCAGCTATCTACTTTATTTCATTCCACAATAATTGCTGTCTTTTACTGCTTTTATGAAATCAACTTTTGCTGACTCAACACTTTTTACAATACTCTGTAATGAATTCAGAGCCGCCTCATTCACCATTGCTCAGAGCAGCCTTGACGTTTCCCCAGCTCAAAGCAAGCACACTGAGATGACGGAGGTCAATGCTCAATGAGATTGAGCAATATAATCTGTTTAAGAGAACATGCCAGTCACATCAAAGCTTTCTCCATTGAGGCATTCCCTGAAACTGGTACTAAATCACTGTCTGAAAGTGTGTTAGCTTAAACAAAGTATTTAACCAGAATGCCTGATTCAAGAGGAGGCAAAAAATCTGGATGAGGGACCAACATTTAACTGATATCACACTAGTAGTTTGAGCTGATCGTAATGTAAGCTGTTAAATTTGTAATATAAACCTCTCATGAGTGCTAAGCATGGAGTTTGAAAGTGATTTAAACTTGACCAAGAAGCAGTGCTTTTTCAATGCTTTTTTAAGATGCATTAAAAAGTTCATCTTACTCTAATGATCCGTTCCCCACACACATCTGAAGTGGACTCTCCGGGTCAAAGAGTGGCCACTCTTTGCAGAACTGGGAAGGTGATACCATGTGAGGAAGCATCTCTTCCACCCTGGAGCAAATGGAAGACGCAGTTCTTGAGTTCTGAATGCTCCCAACTTCCCTTGTGCCACCAGGTGATGAGTGGGCTTCACGTCCTCCTGATTTCAGTTTCTTGAGCTTCAGCCTGAAGTGGGGAAGAGGAGTCAGACTACAGCACATTGTTGTTTTTCTTGACTTAAACAAGGGTACACCAAGGGTGAAATTTCATGTTACATGCAGGCAAACTGGAAACAGTGTTTTTTGTTCACATGATTCAACCACAAGTGCTCTCTTTATTTCCCCACCCTTCATTAGTGCGTTATTTGTGGTGTGTTGCTCAGCAGCATTGCAGGGAACAGTTGCAGAATGACGGCATACTTGGGGGGGAGGAGCAAATAAGAGAAGATATAAAGGACTGCAAGTGAAAGTACAGAGATAAAGGAACGAAGCCAAATATGTACTTTAGATAAACTGTCTCCAGCATAGATCTCATCACAGAACAGAGCTTACCTCATTTTTTAGAAAGTTAAGTGCACAGATTTAAGAAGTTGCAAAACTTTTGTTGTCCCTCGTTCTTTTACCTAGCAGAGGCTTATCAAAGCTTGTTTTGCTTTGTTCAAGAGGAGCTTTTCAAGGGCGTATTTCACTTTACTGAAAACACCACAAATCTGACATACTTTTACACTAACAGCTGAGGTGTTCAAATGCAAGCATCAAGGAGGGGAAGGAGCATTGTTAGCAGGCTGTGCCCCACTCGCAGGAGGTCTCCTGCCCCTCCAGGGAGTTCTGTGCCCAGTAGGTTCCTCACCTGGACCTCCCTGTTACCCTTAGGCTTAGGAAGTCCCAGCCATTAACCTCAGAGATCCAATCATCAGGAAAGCCACAGCAGAAGAGAAGGGAAAAGAAAAAACGTAAGTGAAGCTGTTGTATGGTGGCATTGATAGACTGCTGTGAGGGAGCTACTGTTTAGGACAGCTTTGAGAGACACCCTAACATGGGGGAGAAACTAGCCCGAGGCCCCAGCTGGCCTTCTACAGAGCAATTGCAAGTTGTCACCTCACGTTCCTTGCACTGGTATCTCCAGCAGTTGGGACCCATAATTTTCTAGGTTTTCTAGAAAGGGATGGCATCAGTGGCTTATGGAGAGGATCTTGCAATAACTCTTTCTTCTCTCCTGGCACAGAAAGCAAGCTCATGGATCATAGACAGAAATCAGATAAAATATCCTTAAAAAAAATACTCAAAATGCTTAGCTGATAACTCAGAAAATATGAGCATGTGTGAGATGAAATATTCAATGATTTATAAGCTGGCCAACTCCCCACACTACTTCAGAGAAGTGCAAGCTACACATTCCTGATTGTGTTGTGTTTCTGTTCCTGGCTTTAAAGCATGTAGACACAGTTTTTCTTCTTTAGCATAATTTTAGAAATTTCTGAATGGATTTAGGTGACTTTCCTTTTTAAAAAATAAACGGTCCAAACGGATAATTTTAACAGTATTAAAAAGAGATGACTCTTATGGAGTTTCTATAGACACCATTCATGTTACTATGTACTAATTATTCTTGATACTGTAACTCCCCTTCTGAAGCCTAATGCCAGCCAGTTATAACACATTAAAATAAAATTGGCCAAAACACACTGTTTACAAATCAGTTGCATATGAAAGATTTATGGGCTTTTCTGTATGTTTTCATTGCAAATGGCTACCTGAAAAACATTTTTCTAAAAACATTCTTAGGAAAACTAGACTAAACCCATCATTTTATTGTTTATAAATATGTTTTGGAAACCTTGAAAAAAGCAGACTAAAACTGCTCATCACTGTAAGAGTAATTTTGCATGGAGATCACTAGAACACTCTTTGAATTTCTCATTCAAGAGGTTTTCAGCCACAAGTACAGTTGCACAAAGGCAATCACATCCACTACATCAAATGTAGGGCATAGTAGCAATCAGTGCAGCACTAAAGCAGTTCAGACCACAACTGGAACATTACTCAAAAGGTGCCAGCACACTGGGCTTATACCTCTGTGTTTTGCCTGGCTTCCTGCCTCTCCCTGTAACACTCAATAAAGGAA